TTCCACATGACACTTAGCCCAATCCGTTCTATTATATCGTAGATTCTCCTAATGTGGTTGAAGCATCGAGTACCGTTTGCGTAATTACTACTAGGTCTACCCTATCCTAGGAGTGTTGTCGATATACATGTTTTTATAACCTGCTCATATTTCATGATGTGCTGCTATATTCAATGAAAAATTTCTCAAATGTTGTAAGTTGTCCTGTCTTTGATTGCTTCTCCGGAACAACTACAGTTTGGCGCATACAGCGATTGAAGAAATGAGCAAACTTAGCCAATAGTATGTAAATTCTTGCAAATAATAATGAGTCACAAGTAATATATTGCTGGAACAGTAACAGCTGTGAGAAAGTAATATTGGAACAGAGTGCGTTTATGCTGAGAATGAAACAAACAAGTTCGGCAAATTATGAAGATAAAACATTTGGATAAAAATGATAAGCTGCACGTTTGGCATTACAAAATTCAGGAAACACTTATGAAATAACAAACGAAAGTTTTTTATCAAAAATAATTAAGTTTTAATTTTAGTCAAAAAAAAAAATCAAAAATACAAAATGAATGAGGCATATACGCGAAACATGTTGAAAATGAATTATAATATTCAGTGTGTCATATAACGTGCACTGAGTTGATAATCGCTCAAGAAATCGTCACTAGGCCGATCAGCAAGCGACAAAGCAATGCTCAAAGCAAGTGGAAAAGTTGTCAGCTGCATAACTGGAGAATAAGACTATGAATCAAAATCTGTCCCGGTATTTAAGATAATCTTTGATCTCATATTCTCATCTACATCCCCGTTAAACTTGGATATTTAAAATGAGAAAAGATTAGCAATAATTTTACGAGCGTTTGTGCAAAATTCGATAAAATGAACATGCAAGGAACACTGTCAAAAAATCATGCATCTCATCGTGCAGCTGCCGTAACAACTCATCATCGTCGTCTTCTCTTCTGACCATGACCTCGCACGAAACACCAACTGACACTGATCGTTTGGCCCAGTAATTCCGATCCATTCAAGCCCTCAATTGCAGCCAGAGCTTCTTTCTGTGTTTCATACTCTACCAGCGCATAGCCCTAGAAAAAAACTTCGAGCTAATGCCCTTCACGAGTCCAACACGTGCAAATTCGAATTCACACTTTTTCAAAAGAAGCAACTGCCGCTACGAAATCTCTAATACTTCGCGCATCAAAATCTTAGGATCTCATTTTTTCTCGAACAGTCCAAAAAATGATGGCAAAAACAAACACAGATACCTTTAGGAAACCTGTTCTCCGATCAATATTCAAATTCATATTTTTCACTTCGCCATATTCCAGAAATCGTTCACGGACATCATCCTCGTGCGCCTCCTCATGCAC